AGTGACCCTATGTACAACATAACAAAACACTGCCCAGTCCTGTGCCAACCTCACAATCCTTGCTATACCTGAGCCCATCATTGTAGCCACTGTGTCAATCCATCTTGTTGAGGATCTTCCCGTTTTGTTGACCCTCTACTTTACCAAGCATGATATCCTTCTCCAGGGAATGGTCCCCTCTGATACCATGACCAAAGTAGGTGAGATGAAGTCTGGCCATTCTCTGGCCATGGAGCATTCCAGCTGTACTTCGGAAGGCAGGACAGATTTGTTAGTTCTTCTGGCAGTCCATGGTACTTTCAGTATTCTTTTCCAACACCACAACTCCAAAGCTTCAACTCTTCTTTGATCTTCTTCATTCATTGTTCAGTTTTCACATGCATATGAAGTGACTGAAAATACCATGGCTTGGGTTAGACACACCTTAGTCTTGAAAGAAACATTTTTGCCCAATGCAATATGTCATCTGGTTTCTTGACTGCTGTTTCCATTGGTATTGATAGTGGTACCAAGTAATATGAAATCTTTGACAACTTCAATCTTTTCTCCATTTATCATGATGCTGCTTATTGGTCCAGTAGTGAGGATTTTCATTTTCTTTATGTTGAGATGTAATCCATACTGCAAACATTAATTTTCTTTAATCTTTACCAGGAAGTGCTTCAGGTCATCTTCATCTTCAGCAAGCAAAGTTGTGTTGTCTGCATATTGCAGGTGATTAATGAGTCTTCCTCTAATCCTGATGCCAAGCTCTTCTTCATATAGTCCAGCTTCTCAGATTATTTGCTCAGCATACAGATTAAATAAGTATGGTGAAAAGATACAACCCTGATACACTCTCTTCCTGATTTTAAACCATGCAGTATTCCCTTGTTCACAAACAGCCTCTTGCTCTATGTACAGGTTCCTCATGAGCACAATTAAGTGTTCTAGAATTCCCATTCTTCTCAATATTATCCATAATTTGTCATGATCCACACAATGGAATGTCTTTGCATAGTCAACGAAACACAAGACAACAACTTTCTGGTATTCTTTGCTTTCAGCCAAGATCCCTCTGACATCAGCAATGATATCCCTCGTTACACATCCTCTTCTGAATCCAGCTTGCATTTCTGGAAGTTCTCTGTCAATATGCTGCTGCAACCGCTTTTGAATTATCTTCATCAAGATTTTACTTGCATGTGATATTAGTGATATTGTTTGATAATTTCCACATTCTGTGGGATCACCTTTTTTTTGGAAAGGGTACAAATATAGATCTCTTCCAGTCAGTTGGCCAGGTAGCTGTCCTCCAAATTTCTTCACACAGACGAGTGAGGGCCTCTAATGTAGCAACCATTTGTTGAAACATCTCAATGGGTATTCTGTCAATTCCTGGAGCATTGTTCTTTGCCAATTCCTTCAGTGCAGCTTCGACTTCTTCCTTCAGTGCCACTGGTTCTTGATCATATGCCACCTCCTGAAATGGATGAACATCAACCAATTCTTTTTGGTACAGTGACTGTCTATTCCTTCCATCTTCTTTTGATGTTTACTGCACCATTCAATATTTTGCCATAAAATTCTTCAATATTGCAACTTGAGGCTTGAATTTTTTCTTCAGTTCTTTCAGTGTGAGAAATGCCATATTTTTCCCTTTTTGCTTTCTAACTCCAGGTCATTGCACATTTCAGTATAATAACTGACTTTGTATTCTTGAGCTGCTCTTTGAAATCTTCTGTTCAGCTCTTTTATCTGGTCATTTCTTCTATTTGCTTTAGCTATTCTCCATTCAAGGGCCAGTTTCAGAGTTTTTTCTGACATCCATCTTGGTCTTCTTTTTTTGTCTTTTTAGTGACCTTTGGCTTTCTTCATGGTTGATGTTCTTGATGTCATCCCACAGTTCATTGGGTTTTCAGTCACTGGTGTTCAATGCACCAAATCTATTCTTTAGATGGTCTTTAAATTCAGGAGGGATATAATCAAGGTCATATTTTGGCTCTCATGGACTTGTTTTAATTGTCTCAGCTTCAACTTGAACTTGCATATGAGCAGTTCATGGTCTGTTCCACAGTCAGCTCCTGACCTTATTTTGGCTAAAGATATTGAGCTTCTCCATCACCTCTTTCCACAGATGTAGTTGATCTGATTCCTGTGTACTCCATGTGGTGAAGTACACGTGTATAGCCACCCTTTATGTTGTTGAAAAAAGGTACCTGCAATGAATAAGTTATTGGTCTTGCAAAATTCTACCATGTAATCTCCAGTGCCATTTCTATCACCAAGCCCATATTTTCCAATTACTGGTGATTCTTCTTTGTTTCCAACTTCTGCATTCCAATCACCAGTAATAATCAGCACATCTTGATTGCATGTTTGGTTAATTTCAGACTGCAGAAGTTGCTAAAAATATTCAATTTCATAGTCTTTGTCTTTGGTGGTAAATTTGAATAACAGTAGTATTAACTAGTCTTCCTTGGAGGCATATGGGTATTATCTTATCACTGACAGCACTGTACTTCAGGATAGATCTTGAAACTTAGTGATGATGAATGCCACACCATTCCTCTTCATTTTGTCATTCTTGACAAAGTAGATCAGAAGGTTGTCTGATTAAAAATGGCCAAAGCAGTCCATTTTAGCTCACTAATGCCTAGAATATTGATCTTCATGCATTCCATTTCATTTTTGACAACTTCTAATTTTCCCAGATTTATATTTTGTACATTCCATGTTCTGATTATTAATGGATATTTGCAGCTGTTTCTTCCCATTTTGAGTCATGCCACATCAGCAAATGGAGGTCCCAAAAGCTTTACTCGAGTACATCTACATCATTAATGTCTACTTTACTGAGGAGGCAGCTCTTCTGTAGTCGTATTTTGAGTCCCTTCTGACCTAAGGGGCTCATATTCTTTTTTTTTTTTTTTTTAAATCCATTGGTTTTTTTTTTTTTTAGGATTTGGGTGAAGATTTACAGAGTAAATTCACTTTTCATACAGCAGTTCACATGTACTTTGTCTCATGTCATTGACCAAAATTTACAATGCAGCAGCTCCCCTCCTACTTCCTCCCCATAGTTACCTCCTCCCAGTGTCCATCCCTTCATACTCTTCTGCACCCTGAGCTATCTCCCTGTGCATAAGCAGAGGGGCTCATATTCTGACCCTATATCAGTCAATGCTTCAGGGATATTCATAAAGTTTCCCAGTACTATATCAGAGTGTTTCACTGCTATTTATAAGATTTTCACTGGCCAATTCTTTGAGAAGTGGATGGCCCTTTCCTTCTTCCGAGTTTGTCTTAGTCTGGAAGCTGTATTGAAACCTGTCCACCATGGGTGACCCTGATGGTATCTGAAATACCAGTGGCATAGCCTCAGCCTTACAACAATTTGCAAGCCATCACAGTACGACAACAGATGGCAGGTGAGTAGTCGCATAATCCTATTAGCATCAAACAAATCATTATTTTAGAAATTCTGATGTTTTCTCTGTACCTACACAGAAGTACAATAAGAAACAAGAACACTTTACTGTCTTATTTTACAAAAATATATTTTCTAAAGAATATTTTTCTAAATTTTAAAATTTTATCTAAGACTTATTATTTTAGAATTTGATAATATTTTGTTCAAAAAGAAAATTTGTTTATATTTTTTTATATTAGAGAATGGATGCTTAAAAAAGGAGGATTAAAATATTTGCTTTCTTATTCCACAGTTGCACCATCTATGTCTAAAGATGAAGGAAAAGGTGAAGCCAACATATCACAGAATTCTCTGACTCACAGAAAGGATACATCTACTCCAAACAAAGTGGGCTAAACTGCAAACAAAAAGTAAAATTATGAGAAAAGCTATTTTTCCTTTGGCTTTATGATGTCAATAATTAACTTTATTGTATCTTTTGACAGAATATTTTCAAATATCATTATGGTGCTAGTTAAGTTGTGGCATCAATTTGACACCAATCATTGGAGTCTAAACAAAAAGGAATTAAGTAATCCAAAAGTGGTCATGATAAGTTATTATCTCAGCCTTACAAATAAGAGAATTCATAGGCCTAGCTGGACTTCCTGTGTTGCTTGTATTTGTCTTATATCAGCACTAACTAAGCATAGAAGAAAGTCTTTCATGTGAAATCTTGTCAACAAGCACATATGGTACAGAAATACTTAAAGTACTGAATGACTATTTGAATCTTAAAGTTTTCTCCTGGTACCACATACTTTGCAAATTCCTGAAATGGTTATTAAAATAATCTTGCCTTTTCTAACTACGTATCTTTGTGTGGCTGAATTTTCTTCATATACTTCAAACAAAACAATATATCACAACAGACTGAACACAGAAGCAGTTATGAGACTGTTGCTCTCTTCTTTTAAGCCAGAAAATAATAAGGAGTTTTGTAAAAATATAAAACAATGCTAATCATTTCAAGCGATTTTGGGGGGAGAGAAAAAATAATTGTTTTTCATAAGAATATATTACTTGTGTTAACATGTAATGGGTTTATTATTATTTTTTAAATGAAGTAAGTATTTTTTAAATTTATCAGTTTTAATTTCAAATAAGGTAAAAGTATTGATAGATATGACCCATATTTTCAAAAAAAATCTCTTTGGGTCCTCGATAATTTTTCAGAGTGTAAAATGGTGTCGGGGAGTCGCTGGATGGTGCAAATAGTTAATACACTTGGCTGTTAACCGAAAGATTGTAGGTTCGAGTCCACCCAGAGGCACCTCAGGAGAAAGCCCTGACAATATACTTCTGAAAAGTGAGCCACTGAAGACTATGGAGTGCAGTACTGCTGACACACATGGGCTCGCCGTGAGTTGGAATCAACTAGAGGGCAACTGGTTAAAGGGGGTCACTGTGAGTCAGAATTGACTCAATGACAGTGATTTTGGGTTTTGGATGAGACCAAAATGCTTGAAATGTCATAGCACTCCCCACTTATGAAGCATTCCAAGAAAAGGAAAAATGAAGTTGGATGAAGATAAAAGACATCACTTACAGTAAAAAGGCCTCATTCACAGCTTCAAAGAACTCAGGGCAGAGGATTTCCTGAGGTTCATCTCCTTGGTAGGTGAGCAGAGCCTCCACCAAGGGTTCAAGTTCTGGAAGAGTGACCAGGGGGATGCAAACCTGTGACAGGGATGTAACTTGTTCCATCCTATGGAAGACATAAAATAAGAAATAATGACCCAAAGCTTACAGCCACATGTAAAGATAAAATCTTCATGCCTTAAAGGTCCATGATGGGCCACCTGATTTGCCCCTCACATAAAGACAGCTGCCCTAACAACATGTGTGAATTCTCCTCTTCATCAATTCTTTAGGAAGGAATCCTTTAGCCTCTGGTTCCCGTTTAGCATCATTTTTTGTCAGGACTTTGTTTAGCATAACTAGCTCCAGGCACCTGCTACTTACCATGCCAAAGCAGAACTCTTGTATTCTTTCCCCCAATGTTGTCCACATCGCACCCTTCTATCCCCAACAACAAAAAAAATCTCATCTGCTCAGGCCAAAACTCTTGACTCTTGACTTTCATTCTTGATTCCTTCCTTTCTCTTATCGGATTCATCAGTAAATACCATCCACCACTACCACTGTCTCTACTTCAGGCCATCATCACCTCCAGTCTGGTTACTGAAGTAGCATTGTCCCCCTGCTTCTGTCCTCACCTCATTGTTTATTATCAGAACAGTTTCAGCAGTCGTTTGAAAATTCAGCTCAAATCACTAGTTTGCTTAAAGATTTCTAATGGTTTCTCATCTCAATAAGCAAAGTCCGTATGGTAGTAGTTGCCAAGGCCTTGCCTGATGAAACCCCTCTCTGTTTCTTTGCCTTACCTGCTTCTACTCTCTACCTTGCTCACTCTGCTCCAGTCTTACTGGCCTCCAACTACTCTAAATAAGGTCCTGCTATTGATTTGCCTGGAACCAGGGCTAGTTCCCTCATTTCTTCAGGAATAAACTCAAATGTTGCTTTATAAGTGAGCTCTTCCCCAACTGTCCTACAGAAATGCACTGCCCAATAAGGTAGCATTGTGGCTATTTAAATTTATGTGAATTAAAATAAAATGAAATTAAAAATTTAATTCCTCAGTTGTACTAGCCATATTCCAAGTGCTCACCAGCAACATGAGGGTAGTGGCTGTAGTACTGGACAGTGTAAATTTATAGGACACATCCATTTTTGCAGAAAGTTCCAGTGGGCAGTGTGACTTAAAATAGCATGTATCCTTCCATCATCCCTGTACTTCCTATCTGTCTTACACTTGTTTTACTTTTCTTCTTTGCACTTACCATCACCTGACACATAATAGATTTCCTTGTTCATGGCTTCTTTTCTCCTAGTAGCATATAAGCTCTGTTTCATTCATTGCTCTAATCCTAACTCCTAGGGACAACTCCTTACACATACTACATGTTCAAGAAATATACCTACTCTTCTCTTTGCAACACAGTTAAGTTCCAAAGTCCAGGTCATTATTTGAAAATCAGTGTTAAAGCAAAAATGGAGGATGACCACATAAGATCATAAAATGGATGATGATTATATTATCAAATACCTGCCAAATTTACATCACTACATAAATGCCAAAACACATCATTACACAACTACCAAATCATATCACTGCATAACTGCCAAATTATATCATTCATTGCATAACTGCTAGATTACATCATTACATAACCGCCAAACCACTGAGAATCATGGCCCAGCCAAGTTAACACAAAAGTTTGACCATCACAAGTAGTGTTACTCACACCTCACACCTTGGCTTTTGTTCTGCCAGACATACAGCATTAATGTGCAAAATAGTTGGAGAGTAGACTTTTACTATTGTAAATATGAAATGTTGGATAATGAGATAGTCGGTATGTGAGGAGTAGGTTAGTTGTTAAACACATGAATGAGCTAGAGATTAATAAAATTAAAGTTTGGGACACATGCTATTAATCTTTTTCTAAGAATTTTCATATATACTCATAAATATAGGAATTCAGTCTTGTGATTTGTGAAACACAAACAGTGCCACAATATCAAACATATAGAGCTGTTCTTTGTCTTGTTTGTTTTTGTTTTTCACATGCTATTACTCAAAAATATTTATGTTCTGCAGTTTAACAATGTCCCTACTAACAGGCATTTGAGTTGTTTCTAAATTTTCATCATTACAAACACAGCAGTAATTTGCCTGGATAATTCATGTAACTAGAGTCATATAACACTTTGTTTTGTCTAAGTTATTTCACCCAGCTTAATGTTTTCAAGATTTAGCCATGTGGTAGCATGTATCAGAATGCTATTTCCCTTTGTGGCTGAACAATATTTGATGACATGGACATACCACCTTTTATTGACTCATTCATCTGTTGATGGGCATTTGTGTTGTTTCCACCTTTTGGCTATTGTGAATACTGGTGTACAAGTATCTGTTTGAGTTCTCCCTTTAAATTCTTTCAGATATATATCTAAGAGTAGAATTGCTGTGCCATTAAGTAAAGGTGGAAGAGGCCAAAGAACATCTATAGTAGAAGAAAAAGAAATGTATCCTACCATTTTAAAGCAGGCTGTTTCCTTCTAAATAACATTTTATTGTGTTTTCAGTGAAAATTTACACAGAAAATTTGATTCCCATTTAACAATTACTACACAAATTATTCACTGGAGAAGGCGTTTTACTAATCCACTGTTTGCTTAGACACTGTAACTCTCTGGTTTCTAGAGTTTGGAGACTACTGTTGAACTATTTTTGCTGTGGAGGCGGGGGATGGGAGAATGTAGCTACTTACACCATCATCTTTCCTCTTCCCGGACAGGTTACTCTTTAGTTGCACTGAAGTTACTAATTTGGGATCTTCATTCCTGGGGATTTGTTTCACTTCTCTCACGGTTTGGATGCTCTGCAGCCCATATTTAACTCTTTTCTGTTACATTCTCTTTTTTCATAAAAGGTAGATGAGAGGTAAATATTTGAGACTTGTGTGTCTGAAAATATATTTTACTCTCACACCTGATTGATACTTCCGCTAGATATAGGGTTCTGGTAATTTTCCTACAAAATTGTGAAAGAGTGGTTCTACTGCTTTTTAGCTTCCAGTGTTGTTCTTGAGATCCCAGGCTATTATGATTCTTGATCCTTTTTATATAAGATCTCACTCCCTGGAAGATTATAAAGGAGCTCTGATGACATAGTGCCTAAGGCATTTGACTGCTAACCAGAAGGCTGGCGGTTCAAACCCACCAGCTACTCCTCAAAAGGAAGATTCGTCAATCTACTTCCATAGTGAGAGGACCTTGGAAACCCAAGGAGGGGTCCCTATGAGTCAGGTTGGACTCGAGGGCAATGACTTTGGTTTTTGGTTGGAAAATTATAAGGCATTATCTTCAAAACATCACAACAACATGTTTTAGTGTGGATTTATTTTCACTGTCTTGGGCACTCAGTGGACCCAAGGCATTAGGAAAACCCTCCTGAATTACTTCAGTGATGATTTTCTACCCTTTCTTTTCTCTGTTCTATCTTTCTGGGAACTTTTTTTTTTTTTTTTAACTTTTTGGATACTGGACTTCTGGAAAATTCTCTTATTGTCCCATCTTTTCTTTCTTAATTTTCATCCCTTGGTATAATCGCTCTAGATTTTGGGGAGTTTTCAACTTTATCTCTTAGTCCTTCTGTTATGTGTTTCACTTTCACTCTCATTATTTCCAAGAGCAGTAATATTAATGAAGACATTAATATTATTTGATTTTCTTTTGTTTGACTCTCATATTTTTTCTTTATTTTTCCAATGGATATTATGTTAACACCACTGTTGCTCTGTTTTCCTTCCTGAGCTTTTGCTTTAGAACTTCTGAATGGAGCTTGCAGATCTCATAACTTCTCTACTTTCCATTCTTTGTCTCTTACACTATAACTAGAGGAGAACTCCTTTGCTCAGTCTTCAAGGTCATTATTTGCTATTCTGCTGTATCTATTCTCCTATTCAGTCTGTTTACTGAATTTTCTTTTTTCTCATATAAATATATTAAAAAACTATTATTTCAAGTATTTAATATTCTCCTATTCTTCTGAAAAGAATTTTAAAAAATCCTCATTAGTTCAAGGTAATGCATTTTCTTGGTGTATTTGCTTCTTCTGTTTATTGCATTTGGTGCATTTATTTTTTCTCATGGTGTTGCTTTTCCTTGAATATTTGGTAACTCTCATTTGCTTTTCCTGGAACTTGGGGTTCCTTATTAGCCTTCCTGCAAATGCTCTGTTTACTGTAACCTGCCACTAGAAATTGAAGGGAGGGGCAGGATATCGTGCTAGTTGGAGTTGCCAATAAATTGCATTCTGGGCATTAAAGTATCTCTAAATAACCTGGGGGAGCTCTGGTAGCATAGTGCCTAAGGCACTTGACTGCTAACCAGAAGGCTGGCGGTTCAAACCCACCAGCCACTCCTCGGAAGGCAGATGGGGCAATCTACTTCCGTAGTGATACTGCCTCGGAAACCCAAGGAGGGGTCTCTATGAGTCGGGGCCAACTCGACGGCACATAACAAAAACAACAACAAATATCCTGGGAACTGAAAGTCATTCGGTGCTTGCTTCTCCTCCCAAATATACTCATCAGTCATGGTGTAGGCAGGACATCTCTATTGTCTCTTGCTTAGGGACAGTGGGAAATGAGGTAGAGTATATGGGGGCCAAGTCAGCTGGCTGTTATTAATGAAGTGACCTAACTAGTCATCTTGTTGGCTGTGCAGTTCCCTTCTGCTCCTACCCTCAAAACATCTCTTAACTTTTACAGTAGTTCTCTCTTGCAAGCTTTTGGGAATGTGGTAGTTTCCTTTAAACAGATGCCACCTACCTAATATTTCAAGCCTTTCTCATAATTTGTGGGTCATCAAAAGCACCCCTTGTTTTATAGTATTACATATTTAATGGTAAAATGTTCCTTGTTACTCCTAGGACTTGGAGGATAAAGTAAAAGCTAAGGCATTCATATGCTTAATTCATTACCTGATTCAGTCTCTTTGTATTACATCATTCTCTCTTCTGTAATTGGAGTTGCCATTACTCATAGTTTTTGCATTCAAGATCAGTCCAAGTTCGTTAAATGGCAGCTATTCAAGGTATGGTCTACAGTACCAGCACCATCAGCATCCCTAGGGGTG